AAAGCTCCCACAGGAGAGCATTAATTTTATAAGGAGCATTGGATTGGACCATTGTGGAGGAGGCCATGCCTCTTCTGTGATGTCACAGGAGGCAAAGCGGTAAGCAGCACCAATGAGGCCTCAGCGCTGAAAAAAAGGTAATTAAATATTTTTCTTTTAATGGTCGGGGACCTGTCTAGAGCTAGATACAGGGACACTATAGGATAGGAATATGGGTTCGCATTTCCAACACTTCAGTGTTCCTTTAATATAATCCTAAAAAGAAAAGAGCAATCTGCTCTAGAATTAGTGTGATCAGATGGTAGGTGGAACACAAATGTGTCATAAGAGCTTGCTATCCTTTACATTATTATTATTATGATTTATATAGCGCCAACAGATTCCGTAGCGCTTTACAATTAATTAGAGGGAGGATGATACATTTGTTCAACAAATAATTGGCACACATTCCAACACTCTGTTGTACATTTGGAGAATGATGCAATATAGAAATTGATGTTAATGCTATCTTTAATTAATGCTGGAAATTCAGTGATAGGATTTTCACTATAAACCTTCTCCAAAGCCGTTTTTAGAGCCTTAAGAGGAACTTTGCTTCATTTCCCATGACATTTCATGGAAATCAGCCAGGACAATCTCAGGTGCTGCTTTTTTATTTTTATTTTGTTTTTCTTGGGGGGGCTGTTGTAATGCAACAGTATAAAAAGATCAATAAAATACAAAGTGACACATAAAGCATCAAATTACAATTGAAAATACTTTGGAAAAGAATGGAGGGGGAAGAAGAGAGAGCAGGGGGAGATTTAAAAAAATGTGGGTTGGAAGGGGGGGAAGATACAGGATCTGGAGCACACTGAAAAACAGACAACACTCCCTTCCAAGCGACAGTAAATAAATGACTGAGAATCCTACAATCTTAAGTAAGAATGATCCTAGCTCCGTGGGCTGTAGTGAAACAAACAAGGAGGTTTTGCATCTTAGAAGATCTATTTTTCAAACAATAAAACGAAAATCCGTGCTTAGTATAGAGTTTCTAACAGTGCGGCAGCGGACATGTTTGCAAATTGTCCAATTTCCTCACTTGAGAAAAGGTAGGAATAGCCTTGTGGTGCCAAGTCAAGGTTATCATAGCCTTAGCTGCATTGATTAAGTGTATAATTACTGAATGCTGGTTGAGAGGTGTGCTGTAGGAGCAGTGCTGGTGAGGTAGATGGATGGAGGAGAATAACTTACATATGAGTTTATAAACCTCCTTCCAAAGGCATCTTACTCTAGAACAAACCCACCACATGTGTACCATACTCCCTGTCTGGTGGGAACAGCACCAACATATGGCTGACATATGCAGCATCCTGGCATGCAAAGATAGGGGTGTCTGATACCAATGAGTGAATAGTTTATAGGAGACGTCCTGGTGATATTTCGAGGCAGCACATGTGTGTGTTAGTAGCATACATTTTGGTCCATTCCCCTTACTCCAAAATTATGCTACTAAGTTTTTCTTCCAACTTACTTACACAATGGGGTAACATGGAATATCTATTCTCCATCAGCACAGTACAAATGCTAGAGATTAATTTTTGAGGGAAGGAGGTCAGAAAGTTTCAAATGCAGTGGTGGATAATAAGCATTGTGGAGCTAGAATGACAGTTATGTAGTGTTGAATCGGTCTATGTTCTACAGAAAGTAGGAATGTCTCAGGCTCATCCTGCAATAAAGACCCCCTATCTCTTTAGGGCCTGTCATGATATGCTTGGCTGTAAGATGTGGTTTATACAGAGGATATGGGCAAGAATGACAGGGGAACCCACAGGGACATTCTGGTTGTCCCGGAGTGGGAGCATCAGTGTAAGAACTGTAGGGGCACTAGGGGGGAAGATCTGCCTGTTCCCGACTTGCCAACAAACCTGTAAAGTAGATAGAATAAATGGATTCGTACAGAATGTGAATAAGGCAGCAATACTTTCCTGAAAATAAGGACCAAAGCCATATGTCACCAGCATGTATCCCCAGTCTACCCTGTCCAACACCTTCTCAGAATTGGTGGTACAATTGGGGACCCAGCACCCTTTGCTAAACGAATCCAGATGAGGTTCCAATATCTTGCGAGTGGGGATTACCCCTATTTGGTCTGGATGATTATAAGTAAGGGAAGTAAGGCATCAATTATGGAGTTAATATTTTAGCAAGTCGCTTAAGGGACCGATAGCTGAAACATAATGTCAGGTCTTTATCTGCTTTTAGTAGTGAGGTGATGTTAGCCAACATGAAATGGGATGAAGGAACATGACCCTCTCTAAGTCTATTAAATGCGTCAATTAAACGTTGGCCTTACTCTGGGAAACACATTGAAGGGCATTCTTTCTGGGCGCAGCCTCTTTTTGAAGTTTTAATATTATTTTTGTAGTTGCCATATATATTTCTGTATTGTTATATTCACCTGCGTGCTTTGTGTAGCTTACCAAAATGGTTGCCATGCATTCTGGTTCTGCAAGGAATGTTCGTAAAAGCTGGCAACCAGGTAGAATGTCCCGGCTCTTCCTGTACAGCTTAAACTTCACGGACTCCAGTCAGGGATTCTGTTACAAAGTTTTCCGTGTTACATGTTTAAAATGAACACTTCTAACTTCTCATTTAGCTACAAAAGCCAAGTCGGTTCAGTATCAGATCTAAATATTTTAGCAGAAAGAGGTTAACTGGTTTTGTTTATTTCTGTGGGTATTTAGAATTATTCAGCAACAGATAATGCTCCACGTTGAATAAATATATATATTTTTTAATTTGTATTTTTTATCATTCTTACTTTTTTATGATTCAGAAAAAGGATTCCTGTTCTTTTTAATAGGACCTAGAAATTCTTTTTTTTTTTTTTTTTTTCTAGGGCGAACGTTCAGACAGGGTTTTAAACAGTAATTTATAAAAGTAAAGTGCCTTTGAAAGCTGTGTAGCTGGAAACATCTGTAATACATTGTAGTTCACTTGCCATGAGTGAGGCAGTGATA